CTAAACAAATTAAGACTGGCCGCCAGAACTGTCAGAAAACATCCCCTTAAAATTTCAGCTTTCTAGTATCCCAGAACCCCGAGTTATGAATTTATGCGGGAAAAATTTTGGCGCACCCGTACGCGGGTACCACGCTTACCCGGGGGTTGGGTTTGAGCTCAGTACCTACTTGGACGGGGAACATTTCCATAAAATTTCAGCTCTCTACCTTTTCTGGTTCGCGAGTTAGCAGCTTACTCGCAAAAAACTTTGGCGGGCTCTTAAGGGGTACCGTGCAGGAAAGACCGCCCATTTTGTGGATCGGGGCCCGTACGTGTATGAAGATTAAGTCCCCAAAGTTTCAGTCCCCGTAGTTTTTGTGGGTCCCGAGATGAAAAACCGGTACAGACGCGCAGCGCACACACAGATACACACACACAGACAACCTCTCGTAAGTATGCGTTTTTCGCATTGCATCGCCGCAAAAAACGTATAATAAGGAAGGCAGAATGCGAGATCGAACTTGGCCAGGCAAACACTGACGGAGATTTCATGTTCTGCAAACTGGGAGGTACAAACAAGGAGATTGGTTTTGTTTTCAGGGATGGAGTGAAATTCACGAACGATGCTGCAATTGCTCGTTTCATTACTCGCTGGTCGAACAAAGCAGATGAATTGTTCGGCAGGGACCTCCTCGAGCAGCTGCAGGTTGACTTTGCCAGGTTCTTTTATAGGTTCCTAGAAATTTCTTCTCTTTCTCGGGAATTCTTGACCAGAAAGGCATTTCCTTTTATACTTTAATCATTTTGTTCGTTTCTTCAAAGCTTTTATCCTTTCCATTACTGTTGTTATCTGATTCTCGGACAGTTAGAAAGATTTTGCATATATCGAATTCGTTCTAAATGGTTCAAAACATTTGGCTTTTTGCAACTGAATTAGGCCGGAAAGTTCAGAATATTTGTTTTTTCTGTAAGAATGCATTCGCAATATTTGATTTTTCATGGCCAACTGAAGGGATTTGTTCGGAAAAGTTCGGAATACTAAGGAAAATTTCGGAACTATTCAGGGATGTTGCCCTTCAAATGTTCTAATTTTTTTATCGTTTCTGTCGGTAGTTCTGGAAAAGTTAGGGCAAAATCTTAAAAAAAAAAAGTTCGAGAAACGGGCGGAGTTTCTAGAGCGGGGTTCAGTGTGGTCATCACTGTAAGCATACCATTCATTTTGAGTTCTCAATATTTTCATTACTGAGTAAATGCAGATTATTAAGCTCGTAGAGGTATGACTTGGGGAGTGTTGATCCACACTGGCTGTACGATTAACATCCGTAGAAATTTCTGCTTGATTTGCTTACCATGGCTGCACCTTCATATTTGTGCATTTTTGCATAAAAAGACATATTATTAAGGAATTGCGTGTGTGTGTGTGTGTGTATTCACAGGCGAGGGAATTTCGCACCCAGTACCAGTTCAGAAACCGGAAAGTTGTGAAACTGAAATTTTAGGAGCACATTCCTACCCCGTGTGCGATTTCCCTTTCTAAAATCAATGTTCATGTGTGCTTGAACAAAGCGTAAATCTTTTAGTGACAAACGACTTCGGGAATCGACCAGCGTAGGAAGCTAGGTTTTTGTATGGATGTTCTTTGTCCATTTGCAGCCTAAAATTCAAATTTCATATTATCTTGCAGCAGCAGCACACATACAGTCACACCAAAGCTTTTAGCTGATGCCGTGTCATGAACTTGTTGAGGAACGATAGCTATAATTTTGCCAAAATATTTATCTTCCTTTTGGGAATTCGTTTCGATTTGCACTTGTGTCGCGCCCTAGAGCACTTTAAGGAAATTTGCAGCGAAGTGATGATTTCAGGTTTCAGGTGCTGCAAAGTTGAAATTTTACGAGGATATTCTATATCCACGTGTGACCTAAACTCAGCTGGCAGGCTAAATTTTCTGCACACGAACATAACAAATACTGGATTTTATCTCACCTCATATAACTGTACTTTACTCGGATTTCACCATTCTTCTTCGTCTCTCTCTCTCTCGATACCGTCTTCATTGTATAATTTGCATTTTCATTGAACCTCGGTCACCTTAAATTATTCTTTTCTCTTTGTGCAAAATTCACGGTAATCATGTACGCGGAGGTTAAGATTTTACGCGGTTCCATGATGCAGCACACTGTCCTAGTTGGTGCCCTTTCCTCTGCATGCAAGAAAAGAACAAAACATTGTCAACATGAGTGCCCACGCTAAACAGTAAAGCAAAAACCATTCATATTGTTCACGAACTGACTGCTTCAAGGGTAGCACAAAAACGCTTGATCGCGTGTTGCTACTTAGGTTTTGTCCAAGTCAGTAAATTTATCAGTTTGTATTTAAATTTAGATTTGCTTAACTTTAGATTGATTGGTGGGTAGTCACAATTGAGCAGCACATCGAATACGGCCGCTCACTGGATCGCCTGTTCAAGTTAGCCGAAAAAAATCTTACAGTTGGTCCACATTTGTGCTTTAATCGTTTTACCCTTGCGGATATTATGCTGTGGACTGTCATAGCTGACGATGAGGAAGTAAGTTTTTACCCTTGATCGGAATTTCTAAGTCCTACACAACTTATGAAGTACGATATTAATGGGACCAAACCAAGTTATCGTTTTTGGGGTTTTCTTTTCTGCGTGATTTCTTTTTTGAACTTATCTACATTTTCGTTATTCATTTTTTCTAAAATTCTCTGGGCTTGAAATACACTGAGGTAGTCATAAGTCTGCTACAGTGTATGGCAAGTTATTCACTTCCATTACTTGTGTTTTAATATCACTTCCCTC